AAAAAAAAAAAAAAAAACTCCTTCTCCCCCAGTTCACACAAATAAGTTATAACCCTAGAACTGAAGAGATTACCTAGCCAAGTAACTGCATGAAAACAACCAAGCTCAGAGAACCCCAAGGACTCCACAGTTCAACCCTGAGCTACAGATATTCTCTTCTATTGGTATAACCATAAATATTAGGATCTGATCCTTGTGTTCTTACAAATGAAGTCTGAACTTAAGTCTTCCTAAGAAACCAAAAAAGGGATTATATTACAGATCATTTTGTGCTGACTAGAATAAATAACTCTAAAATGGCAGTACTTGGCTTCTGTTATTACAATGCCCATTGTGCTCACAGTAAGCAGCAGCAGACTGGAACAAGGATAAAAACATACTGGAGTGATATCAAATAGCCACTGCCTTGTCATTTGTAGAACAAAGAGATTAGTATTATATTTACAGTCTGTAAATTAGGTAGCACAATGTAAGCCTGATCATCTTTGTGCCCACTTCAGTGGAGAATTAGAAGGGAAATTATGCTAAGGTTGATATTTTTTCCCCAAACTATTATTATTATTAAGGTGTAGTATCAGCCATTTTTGCTATAGAACTAATTGTTCACTAAACTGCAGAGCCTCTTTCTGTAGTCCTCCAAAAATTGTATAACATCTTTATAATAAATTGACCACTTTAAGAAGAGATTCATGACTGATTCTTGTTTCCTGCTTGGGGACTAACTAGCATAACTAGTACACTCAGTTGCAGTACCATTTCAAAGCAGGGCTGTTGGACCATTCAGGACTTCTAATCCTCAGACACCCAACTTAATGATGTCCACCTTAAACCAATAAGCTGATCTTATCATCTTGGCAGGATATAGAAGTAGAGTGACTGCTGACTATCTCTGCTTAGAAATCATGAATGTATGAACAATAGTGTACATGCTTATGAGGAGAACTGTGTCAATAGCTGTTCTGAGAAATGAAGTCTGAAAACTGAATCTAGCAAACTCTCCTGTATTGGCCTATTTTAAATTTATGCTTTATATAGAGAACTAGATGTTTTGGCTTTCAGAATGTCCTGTCTTAAAGGATAAGGAGCAATGGGACTGTCTTCTAAACTTTGCTTCCCTGGGCTCTTAAGACAACTGTGGCTTTTATGGTTTTAGTTTGAATGAACAGTGCGATTTAGAACTAAAATAAGATATTTTGTTCAGTCACCTAGTTGTTAACAGTGACTTCTGCCTCTTGTAAATGAGAAAACTAGTCAAAACTGCAATTTTGCAGTAAAAAACTGTGTTCTCTTACATCCCCCTCCAAAGTTTTCTCATACCTTGACATACTCCTTCAAATGGGAGAAGCAAAAAACTGACCCATGAGCTGACAGAATCCCTCCTTCCTGCTGGGATGAATGAAAGTAAAATGGGTCTCTTATAAAAAGAAAAAGAAACCTCCAATTTCACATCAAGATTGGCAGAGGATAAGAAGTGATTGTTCATTTATCATCGTTTCTATGCCTATTGGATTGTTCTGCCATTTATTTAAAGCATTGCCTTCCTTTTTGACATTCTTCATTTATCATTAAAATGGCTTTAAATTTAAGAAAAATTATTCCCTCTGATTATTAAATTGATCCTTTTATGTTGGAACCACACAATGTTAAAATCATACATCTTCTGTCTCATTGCTTTTAAAATTTGGAAATTATCCAGGGTGCAGTTTTAGGCATCTTCTTTAGACCTAAAAGTTTTTAATTACTGCTCTTCTCACATATACTTTGTTCATACATTAATTTGAGGTCAGAGAACATATACTTAAACCATGACCAGTTTGCTTATCTTGGTAATGTCAAGGGGCCTTAGTGCCTATGTACAGAGGTAGTGATCACCAAACAGCACCTTATATGAGAAAGATCATTTTAGAGTTGCTTTGGATGACCTTATAAAATTACAGTTCAGCTCAAATCTGCATGTTCATTGTCACTTGAAAGGAATGAAACTGGGATTCTTGAGATACCTGTTAGCCTCCGGTAGCATGTCCTAATCCCAAATATTTCCACTACACTTGGGAAAAAAAAGGATGGGATTGCATTGCCAAACTAGTCCAAGATTTAACTAATATAATTGGGGGGGGGGCTATACTACATAAAATCAGTTGAAAGATATGAATATTAAGTCATTCAACAGTTAAACATTCACAGTTGTCCTACCACCTAGTTATAATATTGATCTTATCTTATTTACACCACAGGTCATGAAACTACAATGTTGATACCAAGCAACAGAAAACAGTTCTTTGTACCTTAGAGTAATAATCTTAAATGCCCATATGCTCATTGATGGTCATCCAATTTAAATAGAGTAGTAGCGATACGGTTAGAGACTACTAGGAAATTTAGTATGAGATGTCAGCTTTTGTTATTTACTTGAAATATGGACTGACATAATTCTGGTGTGCATCTTCAGATCTGATTATATATATCTCTCTTAAAAAGAGCATGTGTTTCATTCAGCATAAAATTAAAAAGCTGATATCTAGCACTAAAACTGTTGCCACATACCTATTTACATTAATAAGGCCCATATCATTTAGCTATGAGGCTTCCTTTTAATTAAACTAAAAAGAGAATTTAGAATTAATTGGAAACTGGTCTGTATATACTACTGGAACCATCACTCTTCAGAATGCTACTGTATGTTGGCCACTACAGAGTTCGAAAGCAGCATTAGACATCTGTTATTCAATTGCTGCTTCATTTCCTTCCTTCCCTCTGGTAGCAAAGGGATGTTTTCCAACTTCTATAGGTCACAGCCTTTATATTTCTTGGTATTCTCCCATCCATATACTAACCAGACCTGACCCTCCTTAGTTACCAACCTTCACTACCAAGCCTAGGCTCCATTTCCCAGATGCAACCATCTGCTCAGACTTTCTGTGGATTTGGAACAGAGTATTCCCAGTAGCTATTAGAGTGGGGGTTTTAAGACCTCAACAAAGTGTCTGTGTGCCTCTAAAATGCATTTTGTGAGGATTTTGTTTCATGTTTATTATAAGCATTTTTCTTATTTATGTTTTTCTGCCCTTACAACAGTAGGTTCATTGCTGAAGAGAGTGGGTTTTTGTTTGTTTGTTTGTTTTTATTTTTGCAATTCTTATGCGAGGGAACTTCAACAGCCAAGTATCACTGCAGTTGTTATATTCACTGATGGAACGTTTCGTTCTCAAGACTTCTGATTCATTGAATTACATTAGCTAAGTATAATACTTCATAAGCAAGTGCCATAGTCTTGGCTCTTAATAGAGCAAGAAATAACATTTTCATTTCATGGCAATGAGAAATGGGGGGAGGGTAATCCTTTTTCCAGTATCCTGAACCTGGTGCCTTTCAGCTGTTTTGAACTTTAACTCATGGCTTGGGAGTACATTAGCGTTCAACTCATTTGAAGGCCATCCGGCTGGAGGAGGTTGCTGTATCTTCCATACCATCAAACTGGAATTTAATAGGAAAAAAAATCCTTTCCATGCTATAAGTCAATTTGCTGGAAATCCCTTTTTAATGGGCAGGAGAGAAGCTGCCTTCTGCTATTGAGTACTCTCCAGATGTGTTGGACTGCGGCTCTTTCAAGTTCTGTCTCATAAATATTTTGGCTAGGAACATATCTGGAAGGCACCAGGATGGGAAAGACTGCCCTAGGTAATAATTAATATATGTCTAAGGAAGGCAGTATCAAGGATGTGAACATAAAGTAAGCAGCCAGAATGAGAATGAGGAAATATTAGGTTTGTATTTATGAATTACTGTCTAAATGACAGGGATATTAAAACAAACCAAAAATTTACTA